TCACAGACTCGTGGGTATTTAGGAGAAACACAGATATCACAGACTCGCGCGTATTGAGGAGAAACACAGATACCACCGACTCCTGTGTATTGAGGAGAAACACAGATAACAAAGACTCGTGTGTATTGAGGAGAAACATAGATACCACAGACTAGTGTGTATTGAGGGGAAACACAGATATCACAGACTCGTGGGGATTGAGGGGAAACACAGATACCACAGACTCGTGAGTATTGAGGAGAAACACAGATATCACAGCCTCGTGAGTATAGAGAAGAAACACAGATATCACAGACCCGTGTGTATTGAGGAGAAACACAGATGTCACAGACTCGTGTGTATGGAGGAGAAACACAGATATCATAGACTCGTGTGTATTGAGGAGAAACAAAGATATCACAGACTCGTGTGTATTGTGGAGAATCACAGATATCAAAGACTCGTGGGTATTGAGGAGAAACACAGATACCACCGACTCCTGTGTATTGAGGAGAAACACAGATATCATAGACTCGTGTGTATTGAGGAGAAACACAGGTACCACAGACTCGTGTGTATTGAGGTGAAACACAGATATCACAGACTCGTGGGTATTGAGGAGAATCACAGATATCAAAGACTCGGGTGGATTGAGGAGAAACACAGATACCACAGACTAGTGTTTATTGAGGAGAAACACAGATATCTCAGTCTAGTGTGTATTGAGGAGAAACACAGATACCACAGACTAGTGTTTATTGAGGAGAAACACAGATATCACAGATCGTGTGTATTGAGGAGAAACACAGATCCCACCGACTCGTGTGTATTGAGGAGAAACAAAGATACCACAGACTCGAGTGTATTGAGGAGAAACACAGATACCACCGACTCATGTGTATTGAGGAGAAACACATATACCACAGACTCGTGTGTATGGAGAAGAAACACAGATATGACAGAATCGTGGGTATTGAGGAGAAACACAGATATCATAGACTCGTGTGTATTGAGGAGAAACACGGATACCACAGACTCGTGTGTATTGAGTAGAAACACAGATACCACAGACTCTTGTGTATTGAGGAGAAACACAGATATCATAGACTCGTGTGTATTGAGGAGAAACAAAGATATCACAGACTCGTGTGTATTGAGGAAAAAACACAGATACCACAGACTCGTGTATATTGAGGAGAAACACAGATATCACAGCCTCGTGAGTATAGAGAAGAAACACAGATATCACAGACGCGTGTGTATTGAGGAGAAACACAGATGTCACAGACTCGTGTGTATGGAGGAGAAACACAGATACCACAGACTCAGATACCACAGACTCATGTGTATTGAGGAGAAACGCAGATATCCCAGGCTCGTGTGTATTGAGGAGAATCACAGATATCAAAGACTCGTGTGTACTGAGGAGAAACACAGATACCACAGGCTCGTGTGTATTGAGGAGAAACACAGGTATCACAGACTCGTGTGTATTGGGGAGAAACACAGATACCACAGACTCAGATACCACAGACTCATGTGTATTGAGGAGAAACAAAGATACCACAGACTCGAGTGTATTGAGGAGAAACACAGATACCGCAGACTCGTGTGTATTGAGGAGAAACATAGATACCACAGACTAGTGTGTATTGAGGGGAAACAAAGATACCACAGACTCGTGTGTATTGGTTGGCATTACAATGCTGTATACACAGTTGTATAAATTAACAAGAGAAGCATCTAAAACACATAACAAAACAATACAGAAGTAGAGAAACACAGATATCACAGACTCGTCTGTATTGAGGAGAAACACAGATATCACAGGCTCGTGTGTATTGAGGAGAAACACATGTATAACTTTCAACCCTATGTAACTTAAGTAGACTCTACCATGCATTGATCTGAGTAATTCCGTTGTGGTCTACAGTGGTGAAAGGGTTAAACACAAATATTTCATAATCATTTCTGAGGGGAAACACAGATACCACAGACTCATGTGTATTGAGAAGAAACACAGATACCACAGACTCGTCTGTATTGAGAAGAAACACAGATATCGCAGACTCGTGTGTATTGAGGAGAAACAAAGATACCACAGACTCGAGTGTATTGAGGAGAAACACAGATACAACAGACTCGTGTGTATTGAGGAAAAAACACAGATACCACAGACTCGTGTGAGATATCACAGACTCGTGTGTATTGTGGAGAATCACAGATATCAAAGACTCGTGGGTATTGAGGAGAAACACAGATATCATAGACTCGTGTGTATTGAGGAGAAACAAAGATACCACAGACTCGAGTGTATTGAGGAGAAACACAGATACAAAAGACTCGTGTGTATTGAGGAGAAACACAGATACCACAGACTCGTGTGTATTGTTTGGCATTACAATGCTGTATACACAGTTGTATAAATTAACAAGAGAAGCATCTAAAACACATAACAAAACAATACAGAAGTAATTATATCACAGTTATATCATTTCTCACTGTTCATAGGTCACAAAAGTGTCCACTAACACATTACGTGCACGTAAATCTGTACCACACATCCATCCCCCAATAGCACACTGCCTTTATAATCACTCGGGCAAAAACACATTTTGTTACATCTAACATTGTAGAATAGATATAATTAACATACTTAAGTATAGATGTATGTTAAAAATAGTTGGAAATACACAAGTATGTATTTATGCTTTTGATAGGGGATTCAAAAATCTTGGAAAAATTTAACTCATTAATTTTCTGAAACATTTCCATGCCCCTGTGCTCTAGGCTAATAATTACACATGTGTCAGCTGAAGTTTCCTGTTAATATCTTAAGATTTATATCTATTTTAAAACATTACACAATAACAATACCAATTACAACCTATTCATATGTGCTTGTAAGGCAGAATATTACATGGTGTTTACTATATATAGTGTTCATGAAATGAAAGTAGGTGAAAATGGAACCCTGATATACAAGATGTATAAGAAGGGAGACAATTCGTATTTCACAAAACATATATAATATTTCAAATTGTTAATCCAAAACAATTCTATGAACTGAAGTATTAAAAAATGCGGATTTGACTAAATTATTATCATCATTTAAGACTAAAACATGAAAAGGCAATCAATCTAAAACTAACCTCATAAACATACTAAGTACATTTAATTAAAAATATGTAAAGTGTAGTTACACAAGGCACTTTATCAATTTAACAGGTAATTATACTTGATTACACTGTATTCTTTCATATGAAAAGACCAACATGTATAAAAGGTGGCACAGTCTGAAGTGTACACTAGAAATATTAGAAAATCGTGAAAATAAAATCATTAAATGATGCAAATTGGTGTGCAATGATTTTTTTGATTTTTTTAAGTTTTTTATTTATATGAAGTCGTAAAATACATTTTATACCATATAAAACCTAGTAAACACCCATCTTTTATAAGGCCCTACCCTTGTTCTGGTGTGAGCATCTCTTAACCAAAATTTACCGATCCTACCAGAAGAAATACTATGGGGAATTTTTTGTGATTTTCAATCTTTGACAATCATTCCAATTTACGCTAATTGATACAAGTGCTGGGATTCTATTAGGATGAATATGGTACCTATTTATATCGTATATTATATATATCAGGGGGCTTAAGGAAACAAGCCCCAGGATAAAATTGATGAAATTAATCAGTGACACAAGATCCATTTTGGGAAATATGAATGATTGTCATATCACGACACTATAAATACATGAACTTTAACTAACAGGTCAACTATTATTTCAGTCTATATATTATCCTCATGTCAACATGAACAGAATCTTTCCTGAATATCTGCATTTTGAGAAATCTGTTGATTGTATGGAATTTTTGGAAAGAAAGGCATTTATTTTCATACATTTTGCAAATGGGAATATTCAAAGAGGTAAATTGGGGAATGTCTCGCACGTTTTCATTTCCTTTAAACAGACCTAAAAGGTATGCCAAACAACTCTCTGGTAAATAACGATAATGGTAATGGTATCAAGTCCTTTGTAAGCGACGGATCAGGACAAACAAATGATTGTCATCAGAGTACTAATTAAATCAATGCATAAACAGAGATGTAAGTAAAATCGACAGTACAAACAAATATTTGGCAAATTTTCCAGGTAATTCACCCTTTCGTCAAAAGACTCCATTATTACATTGAATAATTAAATTTCACAAAACTACTCAAAATACTACAAGAATTACACAGGATTGATTCTATCATAAACTTATTGGAAGCTAGAAACGCATTTTAACACTAGAGAAGACAAAGGTGAGGTAAGATTGGAGAAAAACTGAAAACTGACACTAAAGTACCACTGTTTTCAAAAGTTGAATATCTCCATGCTTAACTGGATTGTTATACTATTTTGTAACAATAAAACAAGTTTACCCTTTTTTTGATAATGTGATTTCAAACAATATCAGCATGCATTATGAAAGGACTTAAGCTGTATTGAAAAAACAATAATATCAGATTTGACATACTCAAACATTTCACCTTATATTGAGTCAATTTGATAAAAGAAAAAATTGTGGATTGCACTTTGAAAATATTTTTTTCAGAATTAAAAATTCCTTTTATTCATGTCACTTGTGTATTTTATATATACATGTAGTTGAAAACAATTACTAAATGATATATTGTACTTTATATATCACATATCGATAAAAACAAATACTCATAACAATATACAAAGATTTAAATCACAGACCAGAAAAGAGGGGACGGATAATGTAAATACAGTACACTATAATGGTAAATTGTATATCAGGTATTCCATCTTTGCATATTGCAGAGTTATCTTCTCTTGGGAGCAGGTATTGATTGTTACGTCATTGATTTGTGTGAGAAAATTACGTCGTTTTCTCAAAAATTGATGACGTTACTCTCACAAACAAGTGACGTAACAATCAATACCTGCTCCCAAGAGAAGATAACTCTGCAATATGCAAAGACGGAATATATGTCAAATATCAAAAAGGCATTAATACTTGATAAAAACAGTAAAGAGATAAGAAAATAAATAGTAGTATCAAATGAACAATTGTGTCTCTTATCTAATTACATCCATATACATTAATTATGAGATTTTTGAGATGTATGAAAAAACTAAAATGATATGGTTATTATTCACATTTGTAGAAAAATAAAGATTTATGCGTTCCTTCGCTGGTACATTCTATATATTTTATTTTGAGTAGAACTGAATTATCTGGATAAGAACTTTAGAGAGAGCTATGTCCAATGGAAAATATGTGGCGCCAAAGTAGAACACATGGTGTACTGTAGTGCTGTACAGTGTTGAGTCGATTTTGTACTATAGTGCTGTACAGTGCTGAGTCAATTTCATACCATAGTGCTGCACACTGTTGAGTCGATTTCGTACTATAGTGCTGTTAGACATTAGAGTATTACACATGCTGATGACTTTTTCGGCTTTGCAGCAGGTTTTGTTTCTTCTTTGGGTGCTGTTTGTTTTGTTGTTTCATCTGTCTTCACTTCAGCAAATGTTACCTTCGGACCGGGACCCTTGTCTTCAGATGGTTTGGTTGTTGTCGGTGGTGAGTCGACTTTGCTCTCTGTTGGTGACTTGTCTGGACCTTTGACAGCTACTGGATGACCAGCATTCGATATAGCTGGGATGTATTCCTGTATCTTACCACTGAGTTCATCAAATTTATCTCCGTTCCAGGACATTTGGACGGCCTCATCACGGTAGAAATTGATAAAGAGAAGCTGTGTGAAGACCATACTCATAGGACCAGTGGGGGGCCAGTCTATCTTCTCCAGGAGGAGAGGAACCATTGGCTTCTTTAGAGAATCGGCCAGACTCACCTCCCTGCGACAGTTGGCCGACAGTGCGTACTTGGAGGTCACACAGCTTAGGACGACCTTACAGCCACGGACTCCCCGGTCAATTTTGTCGTACAGCGAGTCCCCGCCTCCCATCTGGTAGATATCCATCCAGCAGCTGTATCCAAGCTCATTCAGTCTCCTGTACAGCTGTTTGATCTGTTTCTGTTTACCCCACTGGTACGACAGAAACACGTCAGGGGACGACTCTTCTTCCCCCTATAATAACAACAGTTGATTGACGGTAATTGATGCCCTAGTTCTTGTTATAACCTGCTCTAAGACAAGCAATAATATAGATAACAATCACAAAATTACCTATGTAGACAAAACTTGTTGTTACAAAAGGCGTAAGATAAGAAAGTACATTATAAAGTTTATACCATATTTAATTTGCTTAACAATTTACCTGAGTTGATTCTACTTTTCCTGATGAACTTTGACCTCCATCTTTCTTTTTGGTAATGACAATTTCTTCTGCCACAGGTGTCCACCAATCCTTGTACTCTGTATAGCATATTATAGATGGTTAAGTTCCTAAACAAAAATATCCACAAATACTTGCATACATGTATATAGTTGTATTTATAAAAAACACAATATATGATTAATGAAGCAAAATACCCATTTTTTCCCGCTTTGCTGCAATTGTAAAACTGCCTATAACAGAAGTGAAGTCAATGGGACCCAGAAGGGATTTGTGTTTTATTTTTTGTATTTTGCCTTTTTGCTACAAGGATTTTTCATCATAACAGATTGTTAGCAAAGTAATATCTGTGAGTCAGAAAATTGAATTAAACAATAAATATATAGGATTTCTTTAAAATAATGAATTACTGTTCTAAAACCCTGATAAAATATATGCTGAATAACTGTATGAGTGGGTTTTTTTGGGGGGTGGGGGGTG